TCCAACTCTTAAATCCATACATGACTACTGGGAAAACCATAGCTTTGACTATATGGACCTTTGTTGGCAAAGTGATGTCTCTGCTTTTTAATACACTGTCTAGGTTTGTCATAGCTTTCTTCTAAGCAGCATATGTCTTAATTTCATGGCTGCAGTCATCAACCACAGGATTTTGGAGCCCAAGAAAATAAAGTCTAACACTGTTTCACCATCTATTTGCCACTCAGTGACGGGACCAGATGCCATGATCTTAGTTTTCTGAATGTTGAGTTTTAAGCCAACTTTTTCACTATCCTCTTTCACCTTCATCTAGAAACTCTGTAGTTCCTCTTGGCTTTCTGCCATTAAAGTGGTATCATCTGCATAACTGAAATTTATTGATATTGCCTGGCAATCTTGATTCCACTTGTGATTCATCTAGCCTAGCATGATGTACTCTGCATATGAGTTAAATAAGCAGGGTGATAATATACAGCCTTAAGTTATTCTTTTCCCAATTTTTAACCAGTCCATTGTTCCATGTATAATACTAACTGTTGCTTCTTGTCCTGCATACAGGTTTCTCAGAAAGCTGGTAAAATAGTTGGGTATTCCCATCTCTCTAAGAATTTTCCACAGTTTGTTGTGATTGAGACAGTCAAAGGCTTTAGCATGGTCAATGAAGCAGAAGTAGATGGGTTTTTTTGGAATTCCCTTGCTTTTGCTATGATCCAGCAAATGTTGGCAATTTGATCTCTAGTTCCTCTGCCTTTTCTAAATCCAGCTTGTACATCTGGAAGTTCTTGGTTCACATACTGTTGAAGCTTAGCTTGAAGGATTTTGAGCATTACCTTGCTAGCATGTGAAATGAGTGCAATTGTGCAGTAACATGAACATTCTTTGGCATTGCCCTTCTTTGGGATTGGAATGAAAACCGACCTTTTCCAGTCCTGTGGCCACTGCTGAATTTTACAGATTTGCTGGCATATTGAGTTAGAACACTTTCACAGCATCATCTTTTAGGATTTGAAATAGCTCAGCTGGAATTCCATCTCCTCCACTCACTTTGTTTGTAGTAATGCTTCCTAAGGCCCACTTAACTTCACACTCCAGGTGACCACACCATCATGATTATCCAGATCATTAACTGTCATTTTTGTACAGTTCTTCTGTGTATTTTTGCCACTTCTTCTTAATCTCTTCTTCTTCTGTTAGGTCCTTGCTGTTTCTGTCCTTAATTGTGCCCATCTTTGTATGAAATATTCCCTCAGTATCTCTAATTTTCTTGAAAAGATCTCTAGTCTCCCATTCTATTGTTTTCCTCTGTTTCTTTGCATTGTTCACTTCTCGCTCCTTGCTCTTCTTTGGAACTCTGCATTCAGTTGGGTATATCTTTCCTTTTCTCCTTTGCCTTTCTCTTTTCTCAGCTATTTGTAAGGCCTCCTCAGACAACCATTTTGTCTTCTTGCATTTCTTTTGTTTGAGGATGGTTTTGGTCACCACCTCCTTACAGTATTACAAAGCTCTGTCCGTAGTCCTTCGGGCATTCTGTCTACCAGATCTAATTTGATCTCTGGTTCCTCTGTCTTCTAAATCTAGCTTGTACATCTGGAAGTTCTTGGTTCATGAACTACTGTAGCCTAGCTTGAAGGATTTTGAGCATAAACTTGCTAACATGTGAAATGAGTGCAATTGTATTGTTCTTTGAACATTGTTTGGCGTTGCCTTTCTTTGGGATTGGAATGAAACTCCTAATTTATCCCATGCCTTGCTCCCACTTTTCCCTTTGGTGACCATAAGTTTTTTCTATGTTTGTGAGTCTGTTTTGTAAATGAATACATTTGCATATATTTTAGCTTCCACATATAAGTGATATCACTATAGCATGTCTTTTACTTCACTTATATTCTCTAAGTCCATTCATATTGTTACAAATGGCAATATTTCTTTTTTATGGCTGAGTAATATTCCTGTGTGTGTGTAGGAGTTGTTGTTTAGCAGCTAAGTCCTGTCCAACTCTTTGTGACCCCATGGACTGTAGCCCACCAGGCTCCTCTATCCATGGAATTTCCCAGACAAGAATACTGGCATGGGTTGCCGTATCACATTTTTATTCATTCATCTGTTGATGGACACTTACGTTATCTATCATGCTTGTATGAACATTGGAGTGCATGTATTTTTTTGAGTTAGAGATTTTGTCTTTTCAGAATATATACCCAGGAGTGGGATTGCTGGATCATATGGTAGCTCTGCTTTTAGTTTTTTGAGAAACCTCCATTCTGTTCTTCATAATGGCTGTACCAATTTACATTCCCATCAATCTTATCTTTTCTGTTTACTTAAGGTCTCATCAGAACCTTAAGTCTTTCCAAGATCCAACATTGTCTGACCTTCCTTTGTACCCAATGTTTTAGGGCATCCTTGAAGAATAAGGGATAAGACAAGGGTAAGTACTAATTCCCCTTGTGGTTAATTAAACTTCAGAGTAAGAAGAGGGACCACCTAGTTATCCTTGTTATACAAAAAGAAGTCGACGTCACCAAAGGTCATGAAGGATATTGATTTTTCTCATACCTGAAAACCACAAAGATAGAGAAGAAAATGAAGTATCTGCCACATAAATCCTGCTTCTGTCCCACATCCCCGTGTTTTGTTGTTGGTTTTTTTTTTTTTTTTTTTTTTTGGTACTTGTTAATGGAATTGGGTGTATTTGTTACTGTGCCTGCTCTTCATCTATTTTTATGTAAGTGTTTTAAAGTATATTTTTCAGAATCCCTAGGCTTTTCAAAGAATCATTATAGACAAAGAGCATCTATCTACATGAGCACCATTCTTGCTTCTATAATATAAATTCTCTACCTTAGATATGAATAGTGGTCCTTTGGGTAGCCAAAATAGCTCAGATGAGAGAATTAGGCCAAAGAAACAGTAGTCTTTTTCTTCAAGGGGTTAATGTTACTGAGATTTTGGATAATCCTGTAAAGCATTTTCAGAGTTTTAATTCCACAAGAAAGTGTCATTCTCTGTTTTTTATCACTTGATTCTCATTGCTACCAAAATACCTATCATCCTCTTCAGTAAATACAGAGGATAATTTTTGTTCTTTTTCTGTTTTTGTCTTTTAACTTTTCAAAATTTATATTACAGTTGATTTACAATGTTATTTCAGGTACACAGCAATGATTCACTTATAAATATACATATACTCATTCTTTTTCAGATTCTTTTCCCATATAGATTACAGTATTAAGTAAATTTCCCTGTGCTATACAATAGGCCCTTGTTGATTATCTAAATGCCTAATTTATCCTCCCCCACCCTTTGGAAACCATAAATTTGTTTTTGAAATCTGTTTTGCAAGTAAGTTCATTTGTATTATTTTTAGATTTCACGTGTAAGTGATATTGTGTGATATTTGTCTTCCTCTGACTTATTTCACTTAGTATGATGATCTCTCAGCCATTGCTTCAAATGGCATTATTTCACTTTTTTATGACTAATATTCCATTGTATGTATGTAGCACATCTTTTCCATGCCTCTTGTGATGGACATTCGCATTGCTGTTTTGGCTGTTGTACATAGTGCTGCAATGAACATTAGGGTGCATGCATCTTTTCAAGTCATGCTTTTCTCTGGATACGTGCCCAGGAGTGGGATTCCTGGATCATAGGATAGTTCTATTTTTCATTTTTTAAGGACCCTCCATACTGTTCTCCATGGTGGCTGTACCAATTTAACATTTCTACCAACAGTGCAGGTTGGTTCCCTTTTCTCCACACCCTCTCCAGGATTTATTGGTTGTAGACTTTTTAAAAAAATTTCATTAGAGTCTAGTTGATTTAAGTGCTGCGTTAGTTTCAGGTACACAGCAAAGTTAATCAGTTGTATAACTGATATCAAATTTTTTTTTAATTTATTCCTTCCCCACCTAGGCCCCTAGAGAGCATTGAGTAGAGTTCCTGGTGATCTGCAGCAGGTTCTGAGTTATCTCTTTTATATATTGTAGTGTATCTACGTCAGTCCTGGTCTCCCAATCCATCCCTCCCCTACTGTATCCCCTAGTAACCATACATACCATAACCTAGTTCTCTACATCTGTGATTCCACTTCTGTTTTGTAAGTAAGTTCCATATACACACTGGAATATTACTCAGTCATTAAAAAATTACAAACTATTGATATTTGCAGCAACATGAATGGATCCAGAGATGGTCATACTGAGTGAAATAAGTCAGACACAGAAAGGCAAATGTTATATGCTATTACATATATGTAAATAGCCTAAAAAGGTATTTTTTGTAGACTTTTTGATAATGGCCAGTCTAACGGGTGTGATGTCTTTGTCTTTGGATATAGAGTATCTTTTTTGTCAACAGTTGTTCAGTAGTTACTTGTGATTTTCATGTTTTTGTGAGAAGAGGTGAGCTCAAGTCCTGCTCCGCTATCTTGTCTCTTATCCAGGAATAGCCTTTTGTTTAAATTAAAAAAGTAAAATTTCCATGTGTCAAGGCTTCACATTTTATAGGGAACCCACAAAGATATGTTTTTAAAGAGTACTTTTGTCATGTACCAGAGAAAAGTGGTTTTATTACTCCAGAGCGGCCTAAGAACATTTTACTGGGCACTTGAATTCAAATTTGTTTCTCTTGATGAACGATTATCACTTTACTCTCTTCTAGGTGATATTTCCTAAAATGCACAGCCTCACTGGAAATGGACAATATACTTACCTAGTGTCCCTTCCAAATCAAAAATATGATTGTGTGCAAAGCACTTTTCTGAAATTAACATTTATGGAGTGTTTACCATGCGCCTGTTTTGTATCCTATTTAATCCTCAGGTAATTCCAAGCTATTACCTCCATATTACAGATGAGGAAACGAGAATATAGGATGAATAACCTGCTAGGGTCCCCAAATCTAACCCAGATCCCTCTCATCCTCAGGCACAAGTTCACTTACCTTCTTGATACGGAGTACAGTCGGGGGCTGACACCGTTTCCGCTTGTGTCTTCCAGGAGATACAATATTCATTATTCTGAGGAAGCAGAAGCTGATCTTCCTGCACTGGTACCACCACATCACTGTGCTGCTCTACTCCTGGTACTCCTACAAGGACATGGTCGCAGGGGGTGGTTGGTTCATGACGATGAACTTTAGCGTGCACTCTGTGATGTACTCTTACTATGCCTTGCGAGCGGCGGGCTTCCGCGTCTCCCGGAAGTTCGCCATGTTCATCACCTTGTCCCAGATCATTCAGATGCTGATAGGCTGTGTCATTAACTACCTGGTCTTCCAGTGGATGCAGCATGACCAGTGCCACTCCCACTTTCAGAACATCTTCTGGTCCTCGCTCATGTACCTCAGCTACTTTGTGCTTTTCTGCCACTTCTTCTTTGAGGCCTACATCGGCAGCAAGATGAGGAAAGCGAGGAAGGCTGACTAGTGTCGGAGCTGAGGAGGAAGCCGTAGCTCAGGGTCATCAAGAAAAACAGCAGACAAAAGAAAATGGCACAAGGAATCACATATGGTGCAGCTAAAACAAAACAAGACATATGAGCAAACACACAACCCAAGGCAGCTTAGGGATAATTAGGTTGACTTAACCCAGTAAGTTAGTGATCCTTTTTGGGTGAGGACTCACTGAGTGCACCTCCATCTCAAAGGACTGCTGCTGGAAGGCCCCATTCCCTCTTTATCTGTCAACTCTAGGACAAATGAGAGCAAAGTGGGCCAGAGAGAGAGCGAGAGAAGGCAAACAAGCTATTAACAGTATATGGAAAAAATGAATTTACTAAGTGTTAAATTTCTCTAAGGATCAAAGAAGTTTACTTAAAAACCACGTGAGCACATACATACAATCCTTTCTAATCTTTTTTGACACTAAACTGGAGCCAACAGAAAAAGTAAAAACGGAGGAGACATGGGGTGTATTATCTAGAATAACGCTTTTGCAAAATTAAAAGTACTTTTTAAGAAAGGTTACTGGTTGTAGCCCCCGTGAGAAAAGATGTCTTAATCACCTCCTGAGAAAACAGATGATAAACTATATTTCAACTGAGAAAGACTCGTTCCCCTTCATAGCACAGCCTTAGTCTAGTGAGTTCACCATAACAAAATGAGGCACAATATTTTCCCAGGGCTCTCCCCGGGAGGAAGGAGGCAGTCAGCCCGACTCCTGAAAGGGCAGCTCCGATCTCAGCATTTCTGATAGTTTTTTCCTACCCCTAAATGAGGTGGGACACAGCATCCTTTGTTCAGTTGCCTTGGGCTTTCAAACAGAAGAATAAATATAGAATAGAAAACAGACAATTCAACCAAATTAGTTGAAAAATAGACTCCCTTACCTGTAAAAAGTTGCGGCCCTGTACAGAAGTTCTTGGGAAAGAGCAATGAGCCGAGGATCAATATGAGAGACGATGAGTGCGCCCCTCCACAGTTGACTCCACACATAACTTTCCAAATGAAACCCTGCAGGACAGTCCACATTTTCTATATTTTTGTGAATTTCACACAGTAGCCCACAGGGCTCTCCTTGATCTTGGGTGAACACTGTGTTTCTGCATCATCTGCCTTTGGTGAAGCAAGGCAGAGGTGTTTGAAGTGCCCTCTGCTGGTCGAGCAGAGATACTTTGACAAACACACTTCATGGCAAGTTGGGCTAGCAGCCGACACACAAAGGGCCCCTTAGAGACTTATTCAAATTTTAAAGGATATAAAATATTCACCATATTTTTGGCCAAATCAGAAGACATTCTTCCTACTTTGAGTCAGCTTCAGAAATTTTCTGAAAAGGGACTTATGCTCTGGAATTCAGAAAATCAACTTATTAAGAGCCATATTCTTAAAAAAAAAAGGCTAGATACTATAATATCTGTAATATTTCAGTCCTTTACAAGCCAAATAAATGTGTAAACGTTCCTGTATTTCAAAGAAGCAATTATGTCAAGTTGTTCAATGTGATATAATAGTATTCCAATTGGTTATATAGCTTAATGATTAGACAAACTAGATAAAAATTAGGGGCTACTACACTGCATAGATTAGACATGCATAACCACACACATATACACACAGACGTGAGGGCCACTGAACTTTTAAAGCCCAAATAAATAGAAACATGTTTTCTGGCTAGCAGAAAAAGAAGCCGTTTAGTTTTCTTGCTTTGAGTGTGTACAGAAAAGGGATTTTTCAAATTATTTTTATATTATTTTAGCTTTAATTGTGCTGTCATTCATGAAACAGAGCTGCTCTGCTTCTCTGTCAGAGATGACAAGGGCTTTCTCAGCATCTCGTCTATGTGTGGAATTGAAAAGAATAAAGTTTTATTCCATTCTGTGTGAATGGTCTGAACCATGAACAGAATCCGTGCAAACCAAGTCATGACTGATGGGATGGAGGGTGGGCTATATGCAGGGAAGGGAAGCTGTTATGTCTGTGTTAAATTATTGTGAACAATCTATGACGTCTTGACATTGGTTCATAGATGCATTGATGGAGGAATGTATTATTAGGGCAAAAACTGACACGGACTGAAAAGACAAGTCCTGCTATAACAACTAATAGATTATTAGGATGCAAAGTGTTATTTTGAGCTTTGAAAATACATGATACTGTGCAATAAGCTTTTTTTTCTTATAACAGAAAATGAGCAGAATAATAAGGAAAAGGCCAAATAACAGTTGACTTGAATTTAACTGAAGGACAGTTAGAGCTTATTTGGTTGATTTAATTTAATGATTTGATCCATTGATTTATCAGTGATCCTTTAATTCAGGTTAGAAGAAGGAAATAATCATAGACCTTAAAACAGATTCTGATGCTTCCAAAGCACTTTCATCTTGGTACAGGTTCATACTTGTGTCTACTTATGAAGTAATTTAGAAATTTTGTTTACAGGTTGAATGTCTAATAAATAGTTTTAAAATTAGCTAAATATATCTAAAGGCATTTCCGATGTTTATCATGGGAGGGGGGAAAAATCACACCTTTAAAAAAATTGAAATTCTGCTATTACAGGTTCAATACACTGTTGTTAACATCTCAGCTTAAGTGATTAATTCTATTAAGATATGAGGCTGGACCACTACCCCTTGGCAAATCTGAAGCCTATCAGAGAATTGACTGCCACATAGATAATCCTGCTTTCACTTAACATTCCAGAAAAACTTAGGCAGGCAAGTTTTTATAGCTGCCCCACTATGCTGCAATAGATTTCCTTTCTATTGAAGATTTTCCACTGTACTTCAATTCCAGTATCGTGAAAACATTCCTGGATTGAAAAAATTTTTTAAACCAGATCTTCATTTCAGACATAAATACGTGCAATTTGATACACAAGGTCTGAGCATCAACCCAAGTCTATGAGTTTGCCGTGAAAAACATTCTAGTGAGAAATGCTCTATTCATAGATCAGGAGGTTTTATCTGGACCTTCTAATTTTGCTCATGAGAACAGAGCCACTACTATATTCAAAAATCATGTATTGAGATGATTATTCCAGTTAGTTTACTCCCATCCTTCTAACCATCTGTCCCCTTCTCTAGGGGATCTTCCCGACCCAGGGATCAAACCCACATCTCCCACATTTCAGGCAGATTCTTTACCGTCTGAGCCACTAAGGAAAACCTTCTAATTATACGCTGCTATAAACACAAGGGGACAGGGACAATACATTCATATACGTTGCTGATGGGGAAAGAAAAAATTATATCCCCATCATTTCTATTAATGTGGCTCTGAGTCTGGAACTTGACTGAGTGGGGTTTTTGCAGAACAGCATGGAAGAACACTTCTAGGAAAGAGACTCACAGAAAAAAAAAATTTTTTTTAACCAGCTGTGGTGTCATTATCATAAGATAAAACCTATCACATTAAGAACAACAAAGCACCCAGAATAAACTACACTGGAGTAGAATACTCCACAAGTCTGGTCTGGTTCCAGACTGCTGGGTTACCAGGGAGAAATAAGCTCAGGTTGCTATCTATTACGAGAGAACAGCCTTTCTTCAGACACAGCTAAGCTCCAGCACGCTCCCCCCGCCGCCCCCCCACCCCGTTAGGTTAACGAGTGAATCTTCAACATAGTTGTTGGGTTGGTCATGTGCTGACTCAAGAGGGCTGTCAGGACAGTGGAGATGGTCAAACAGACCACCTCCCTGAGTTCAGTGCTTTGACTTGTGTGCGCATGGTCTGTGCCTGTCCCTTAGACACTTCTTTCCCTGAAAATGTTTCCATCCTGAAAAGTACAATTGTGTGAGAGCTTTTTGATGAAAGTCTAGTGGTCCGATCTTTTTGTTTTCAATAATAAATATTTTGCTATCAATTCAGGATGGTAGTAGAGCGTATTTTCATGCTGTGAGTCATTGTCTCCTATAACTTAATTTGTTATTCTGTCCCTTTTCTATCTGTATACAGGAACCAGTTCTTTGTGCCTCAGACCTGTCACCAACCAAAAGAGATTTTGATAAGAATGCACCACAGGGTTTGGCCTCTGTTGCACACGTATTAAAGTGAGAGCTGATAAAGCAATGATACTCTATTTTGCGCTGACAATCAGGATGAAATGTTAGGTCCCAGTCTTGCAGTAAACCAACAGCCTCTGTATGCTGGTACCCAATACTTAAGCAAAAGAAGAATCATTGTAGTTATAGCATTTTCTTGAATGTCAGTTGTAACATGCCAATTATAAACATCTTTGAGCCATATGGCAAAACCCATAGCTAAAGAGACCAGTTAGGTACCCCTGTGCAGAGCATCAAATACTATTCACAGGCCTGTTGAATCACCAAGTTACTTGCTTCATCCTCAGATACTCTGAAAATTCAGGGCTCACAGAGAAGGAAAAATAGGCCCCAGGTCTCCCTTCCTCCTGAATTATACTTTTTTTAAAACAAGTGAAACTAGTTATTCTAGCATTAAAGAGACAGACAGTGGGAACACATCCGTGGCGGAGTTCAGGGGGGCTGGGGAAGTCTTAAGAATGGCAGTTTGATTTCATGTTGGGCAAATATAAGTCTTCGCATCACATACACTTCACAGAAATCCAAACACGAAACTACATTGTAGTAAACAGCTCCTGAAGCAACTGGTTAAAGAAACTGGTTGCATAAGTCACAGGCCATTTTTGCAACACTTTTAAGCCAGAATTTCAAGGTCCTGACTCATGCTGGTATTGAACACTGTCATTCTCTCAATGCCTGGTATCACTGGAGACTTTTTCCTAGAAGACAGAACCCTAGAATGCTCCAGAAGTAGCCTCATAGTGCTGCCCAAGCCTGTCAATTCAAACAGGTCTGCTCTCTGGGCATGTTTAGGCAGGAGGTTGCTTACTGCTACCTGGAGAACCACTGGAAGATTCCGCCTTAGAGGACCCAGTGCCTCTATTCAACTAAAAGCCCACCCATATAAGCCTCACAGAGCAAATCACAGCAATGTTGGAATTGT